TCTGTGAAACAAAATTTTCTCACCTTCACCTCCAAGCTTATAGCTGGTAAGGATGTCACGTGGTGTCCTGGGACTTGGACAGTACCTCCTGTCTCAAGCACTGGTTAGTCCTCATAGCAGGAGATTGGTTTTAAACACTAAACAAAGCAGTTTTCTCCACAGCAGCAGTGAATTTCTGAAATACGTTACTACAAGATTGTGGAGAGAGATAGCATGAGCAGGCTCAAAAGACTAAGCAAATTCATGGACAGTAGATCTAAACCAGATACTAAGAGGACCAGGTATTTATCTGGGAATTTATCCTCTAGCACTCCTAATCCTGCTATTGTAGGTGCTGGGGAGCTGCAAGGGAAGGGATTAAACTCACGTCCTCTCCCTACACAGCATCTCCCACAGGCAGCATCAGAGACCCAGGCTGGGGTTAGAAGAACCATTGGTCTGACCCAGCAGAGCACTGCTCATGCTCCCAATGGGGCTGCCAGCAAAGCCTACCACAGTTCAGTGGCCATGAGAAAGGTTAGTGCAGCCGCAGCCAAGTAGTCATTCCTACCTGTCAACGGGTTCATGCACTCCTTTGCCTTCTGAAGAGCAACCCAAAACCACCCAGTGAGCACGGGGGACAGGGGAGAGCAAAGGGAGCCAGAGGACCACACCACTGTGCCACGACAGGGACCGTGCCCCACTTCTCATGAAGCTATGGCTTGGAGAAGCACATCGGCCCCCACATCTCTTGGTTTCTATCCATAGTGCCCTCATACTTGCCTCCCACTCAAGCAGAACTGTGGCACCACCAGCAGAGGCCAAGGCATATCCACTGCATGAACATCTTTCCTTCCATGGTCATGTTTGGGTGGCTGGGAGTTGAGGCAGGCTGTTCACATCTGGGACAAGGACCTGCATGCCTTGCCAACAGCAGCAGCTTGCCAGCCACCCCCTGGACCTTGAAAAACACTTAAAGCAACCAGAGCAAAAACGATGCCACTTGCAGCTAGTCAGACTTAATTCACTTCATTATGCTATCTATATACCCTCTGATTTTTCTCCATTATCCACAGAGACTTCCAGGATGAGCCAAGACTCACATGTGCAATGTGAAAGAGACCAGCAGTAGAAATAAAAAATGAACAACCAAAACAATCCCTTTAAAGTTATTCAGGGCCTCCAGGGAGGCAGAAAAGAAGAAAAAAGCCCACAAGCCTATTTCCCATCTTTGCCTTAGATCACCTTTATACAGCACCCGACTGCAGTAACACAGCTAGCAACAGCTCCTGCTTGTGTTTGATGGCTTTTGTAAACATGAGGCTCATGCCTCTAAAAAGTCTTGCTGGCAAGTTGTTGTGAAAAATATTCAGATGTTGTGTCCTCCTACTGTGTGTCCTTAGGTAAAGCTCCAGCTGATCTCAAAGGTAATATTCTTTCATGCTATTTAAATATGAACCCTATTACTTCCTCAAAGCATCTATTATTTTCATCAAAGCAGAACTTCCTGATGAGATCCTGCCATATAAACCTTTACCAGGGGCACAGTGCCCCGAAACACCACCTGTGCTCCACAGGCAGCCTGAAGTGGACACGAGGGAAGAGCTCAGCTCTGCTGAGAGACATGGTGAACAGGTCAGAGCCTCTCCTCACAATGTGCAAGGAGTGATGCTCCCAAACAGTGACAGAACAAAATATCCTGAAAAATACCCTCATACCAGGAGACCACTGGGGAAACGTTAAAAAGTGCTTCCTCTGTAATAAGAACTAGGTCAATGCATCTCATGAAGGAGGAAGCGGCTCTGTGCTGGTGGCAATGCCATAATTTTTAGGCTGGTGATCAGGACAAACAGCTGACTGCAGGCAGAAGATTTCTGTAATTTGGATGCACATAGTGGTCTGAAAGCTTCTGGGGGAGGAAGAATTTGCTACACTTACCTGGAGATCACTCAGACTGGCTTATAAATGCTGAAAGTGAGGTGAGGCAAAAATGACCAACTCTCCATTTACTTAAAACCAGAATATGACAGAGGGGTCAGCTCCACAAAATGAAGGTTGGGCCAAATTCTCACTTACAGACACTACAAACTGGAGGCTGCACAGCATCCGGGAACGAAGACAGTTCAGGGCAAAATAGAGAGTGTGGGTACATCACTAGTATCCACAGGGCCACTGTTTGTGTCAAGGCAGAGACAAAGACTGCAGCACTCCAGCACAACCAAGGATGTGGTGCTTTAACTGGTAAAAGCAGATCTTTCTGCTTCACAGAAGGAAATCCCAGTAGAAACTCAAAATACCCGAGTGCGACCACAGTATATGCAACTTCAAGCTCAAAACATTAAAAACTATTTCCAAATTTAAAAAAAACAACAGAAATTATACAAAGAACCAAAAGCTGAAGACCTGAAATGAGCAGAGCCCAAACCACAAAGCCATCCTTGTAATTTACTCCACTTACCACGTCTTGCTTATAAACTCTACTTACTCATACACCAGTAATGCTGTGAATAGAAATTAGCACTTTTTCATCTTCATGAAAGACAGGAACGTGGAATTCTCAGAGACGCCTCATCAACGTGGGCAGGGGGAAAGGAGAGAAACATATAGGGTTGGAAATATTTAAGGGGCACTCTAACTGAAGAAAGACAAAATAAATAGGGACTCAATCCAGCTGTAAACAGGATCAGATTTGCTGCAAGTCCATGGCAGCATCAGTGGCACAGAAGCAGCTCAGAACAGACAGTATTATCTACTATTAACATACAGGTAACTACAAGACCAAATTATTTGAAAGTGTCATGGTTATCAAACAAACCTTGACTGAAGGCCAGTCTGAATACTAGGATTTGAAAACCAGAAGGATTAGTAAACCCAGACATTCCTCTTTCAGGTCTATTAGATCTCAAAAAAATAAAAACCAACCCCAAAACCCCAAACCTGAAACACATTCAGATGCCAAACACAGCAACATGCCTAGAGAAGAACCAAAAGCACTTAAGTATATAGCCTTTTTTTCAAGAAGAAGAAATGCATCACCAGCAAATCACTTGTTCCAGAACTGAGAGATTAGGACTGTGTTGTCAACTCTTGATACCGGTTTAAGGAAGTATGGCAACTACCCGCTGATCTCAGCTGTAAACTGGGATAGGACATTGCCCCCTCTGGCCCTGGGAAGGCCCCTACATGTTCTGTGGGAAATAAGCTGAAAAAATCAACACTGGGGTTTCACTTTAAGCTTTTTTTAAACAGCTCCACAAAGTAAATTAAAGAAGTATATCCTTAGTCCAGCAAAGTACATCTTAGTAAACTATAAAGGCAAAATAAAGAACTGGATAAGCACGTCCACCGCTCTCAGATGCTTGTGCCACCCCCTTTGTTTAGCACTGCTCCTTGCAGGGAGAGGCGGCACAGTTGCCTGGTCTGGGCAAGCCTTAGGAACAAACTTGTCAAGAGCTAATGTTGCCATCGTGTGGTAACCTTCAGAAACAAAACTGTACTTCTGTAGTTTTCTGTACCCTCATAGTTTTTTTAAAAAAAGACAAACCAACACAGATGGCACAACACTTATGGACTGAAAGGAAGGCAGACTACTGACACAATACAGAGCATCAGAAGGTTTCAGAGAGGTTTCATGGGTTGCTAGGAGCACCAGCTGCTGGCTCACGTGGAACATGCTGTCAGAAAGACACAGCTCAGGTATGGAAGACCTGTGTTTTATTTCTCTTCCCCCCTTTTCTCCAAATTGTAAAAAGAAAAAAAAACAGTACTTTCACAGCAGCAGCTGACAGACATGGTATTACAAAACCAAGTTTTCTAAGCCACGTAACACTCCCTCACACTAACACTGCCTTAATCTTTATTGTCCCTCTCCCCAAGCTCATCCCTTCCCATTGCACACAGCACTAGAGCAGACACGACCAGCCCACAGGCAGCCAGCTCTCTCCCTAGGCACGTCCTGTGGTCCCTGTTCAGGAAAATGGCAGTTACAGCACACTTCATATCATCGAAAGGTTTCAGATACCTCAGTAGCTGCAAAGTGGTATTGGTGGAAATGAAAAGACTAGACAAAGTGCTGCAGTCACAGCCAGCTATTCTTTGGAAGCAAGTACTTTTTAAAAGGAGCAAATGTAGAAAAAACATTTGGGAGCTTGTTATGATTGAAGACACAACTATTTTCTCTACAAGCTCTTCTACCAATTTTTCGCCCCCCATCTTATAAAACCGAGCTTAACAGTAGCACATAAAAACCCCACAAGAATCTCAAGGAACAACTCTTTCACCTTAAAGGACTTCCAGGTTGATATACCTTTCAAGTTAGAGTTGCAGAGTAGGTGCATTTAATCACTTTAAAATCCAATTTAAAATCGAGATCTCCAGATGTTTGAACACAGGCTTTAATTCTAATGTGCATAATTTGGGTTTTTTTCCTTAGTTATTATATCCATTCATATATAACCTTAGTTATTATATCCATTGGCTTTAATTCCAATGTGCATAATTTGGGTTTTTTTTCTTTAGTTATTATATCCATTTGTATCAGCCATGTGCTTGAACTCAATTTCCAAAGACATCAGAAGTACACAAGTATTCCAGGTCACTACTTAGAGAATGGGGGAAGTTTTTTTAGAAAATACAGAGTAATTTAAAGCATTTGAACAGCAATGTGTCAGTCTTTCAAACACTGACATACTTATATTCCAACCAGAACACATACTTTCAGTTTATGCCTTGATGTATACAGAAAAATGGGTGTAATTGATTATTTCTTATCTTTCACACCCAAGACTCTGCAAGTCATTTTGTTCACTGCCAAACATTTTGATAGCAGACTGCTTTAAAACGTCAGGATTCAAACTATTTCAAAAGACTGGGTATGCAAGTATTTGAACTGGCACTAGGTATAGAGTACTGAGCACTGTCTGTATGGTCAACTTCAAGTGTGACAAAAACATTTCTGCATGTTCCATGGAAACACTAGAACCCAACATTTGGACATTAATAAATGAGACAGACAACAATTCTTGGTCAGAAGCAAAAGTGAACTTATGATTACAATTTACATCAGATGTTGAACCATTTGTTAATTTCAAAGAACCAGAACAAAGACACAAAGTCATACATAACCACAAGTTCATTTTATTTCTGTGCCTTCGGTGCCTTCTGCACTTTCTCTGACTTCTTTGCCTTCGCTGGCTTCGCTGACTTCGCTGGTTTCTCTGGCTTCTCTGGCTTCTTGCCTTTTTTAGAAGCCATCTTCTGGAGCTTCTTCATTTCATGCTTGATGATCCTGTTTCTCTGTAAAAAAGGAGAATGTTTACCATTCATCAGAATGAAAACAGCAACAGCTCAAATATTATGCCTTAATTTAAAGTCTAAGCTTTCAGATTCTGCCCTTTTTGATTATCACCCTTTGCTAACCAATTGTATTTACATTATATAGTCAAAAGATTTACCATGTATCATATTTAAAATGCCAAACTCCACCTAAAACTGTTCTGATCTACCAAGTGGACAAGATCATTCTCACTGGTAACCTGGGCACATATTTCATGTGTAATGACTCTCATTATAGAATGAAATATTAACAGTAACCCATCAAGAGTATCCGATTTCATCAGTAGATAATTCTGTCCTCAGCTGTAACTTGGAGGACTGACACACAGAACATGCAGGTTCAAGTTTGATCAACTACTGAAGAGAAAGCAGTGGACAAAGCAGAACAAAAAGTTAGGGTATTCACATATTTTGTGTCACTCCATAACCCAAGCCAGCTATAAAAGTAAAGCTACCAACATCTGGACGTGACACTAAAGTGAAAGCTACAAGCATTAACCCCATAAAGAAGCGACACTCACCATTTTCTTTGCTTTCATAACCTTGTAGCGATCGAAGTCAGTCATTTTAGCTTTCTGTTTGAAAAGAATCAAGTCATGAAGCTCTGATATAGACATAGGCAAGTAGTAAAACTCAGCATTTCAAAGTATTCCACAAGTAACTGTTCATCTCCAGATTAGGTTTAACTGCACATCTGCAACTAGTTCATTATTTAAGACCTTTGCTGGGAAGTGATGGTGCAGGGAAAAGGGTGGTTATAGAAATGACTGAACAAAAGCACCTTTACTGTTAAAATACAAGAAGCTGAAGCTGATAAGTAGCAACTTTAAAAATCTATGCCTTGTCTATCTTTAATCTTAGCCTGCAATTGAAAATAGTTTATTAGACTGCACCTTATTTGAATAAGCAGAAACAGCACAACATGTATTATTCATCCAGTGAGCAACTGTACCTTTTCTCGGGCTTCAATCTTCTTCGCCCATCTTGTGGCGGCCCATTTTTCATTTATATTTTCCTTCTCCCATGCAAGTCGCACACACTTCTGACGAGCACTGCATCAGAACAGTCACAAAATTGGATTCACAGTCTTTATAAAAAAGCTTCTCTCTGATGCTGGGCCATCAAATTTCATACAAAGGAAGATCAGCCTTCTACATTACTTCAAACGCTTGCTTTAAGTCAATGCCAGGTACATCTCTGTGGCCTAACTTTTTGTTGTGTAAATGCTTTGCTAAGTCTGACAGATAAGCAATACCAAGAGGCATATTCACACAATATCCCAAGCACTGTTTCAGAATCAGAAAGGCAGCAGTTTTTGTTTCTAAATTCAAGAAACCCACATAGTAACTAAGCTAAAGAGAACAGAACAAGTTCATGGTCCTGCAATTCCAGTGTAGTTCTAGAAGCAGGGAATGTATTCAGTGTCTGCAGGTGACCTGAGCAGCAGCAAAAGCAAAGGTGCTCAGTATTTACTGAAACTGCTTTCCCCACACCATCTGCTCCACAACTATCTGCAAGTTGCCTAGGCCAGTCTGCTATTTCCTTTGCTCCTTAACAATGGTTATCGACCAACATTAGTAATGAAAATGTAAATGAATTCAAATATGATAATACGGTCTGCCAAATTTTTACTGCGCACATATATTAATCCATTGAGCTTTATGAACATTCTAGACTTAGCAAGCATCAGATCAAATAATTCAGCCATCAAGTGACAGCACGTTTTTTTATACAGGTCAAAAAAAATGCCTAAAACTCACCTGTGTGGGAACTTGAGAACAAAGTCAGTAAGCTGCATGCACTTGAAGGGCATAGCCTGCCTTCTGACACCACTGCAGGGGCCATCAACTAGTGCCTGGAACAGGAAAAATAAACATGCTGGTTCTGTAGCAGTTTTCCCATCATACCTGATTTAGGCAGCAACTTCCTAACAATGTATGAACAGTATTCTTGACAACAATGGTCCACAAGTGCAGTAAATGTTATGCAGGCAAAACCAGAGATTGTTAAGTCTTGTGTACACAACCCAAGCTCTACAGAAAGTATTTTAAAGGCCAATCTTTGTCTTTGGGGGGGAAAAAAAAGAAACAAACTAAACTTTAAAAAAGCAAACAGATTAAAATGAAATACTTTTATCTTTTTTTTTTTTTTGGTTCCCAGCTTTTTCAGGAACATTAAGCAGAGTTCCCTAGCCAAAAAACGTGCTTTAAACATACATTAATGCCATTCCATTCATAAGTTTTAGACTCCAACTGACATCACTTGTCCACTTCTACTCCTAGGAAACACAGCAGAGAGAGGAATGTATCACTTGCCAGTGAAAAAAGCTTGCTACCGAAAGTTTCAGTACAAGCAAATACAATTGTTAAATTCTATCTTTTTATCAATGGCTTATTTCCTTGAAAAATATATTCACAGAAATCTCCTTTAAAATTGATACACCGTGTCTCTGTGCACAAGCTTCTGTTAAGATGGAAAGAAAACCAAGGTACAGAGCTCTTAGCTTACCCTGTTTTGGTCAATGACATCCACAATGGCCACCAGCTTGCCAGCATGCGGCCCGAAGGAAATGAAGGCAACTCTGCCAATCTCGACAAAGCGTTTGAACACCTGGGAGCAGTGAGAATTGACAGGAATTAGGCGAAAGTTCACCTATGGCCATGACCAGATTCAAGGCTCTCACAGGCTTTGAAGCAGGTGCCCAAGCTCTCCAACTGCACCAAACCCCTCCGCTCGGGCAAAGGCCCAGGCTAACGCCCACCACTCCAGCCCGGCCCCGGGGCCCCGGCCCCGCGTGGCGGCTGCGGGCGGGGGAAGAGGCGCCGGGG